CCCTGGAATGTTATTCAAATAGTGTGACTACATACACCTTTCTTTTTCATTTACATCCTCTTTGAACCCGACGACTCCGATTGAGCCAAAAGCACTGGAAATATTCACAATGAATAGTGATGTGGTTTGAAGAAGTGATTTTCTCCAAGTTATATTTCCTTATAATCTTATTGATTATTCTATTCTCCTATTACCTCTTTTACACACATGATATGGATGCTTGTGCCTTTTATATATGCATATAAAGACATGAGATTGGTTTTTATAAATCATAAAAGAAAGCAGTCTCATTATTTTACACTTTACAGTAATTTGATTTTGGAAGATACAGGATGCATATCCAACTGAAATTATCATGGTGTTGAAAGCAAGATGTATATATTTTACAGACATTTGGGGAGCAACCAATATTCATGCTGTGGAATGCAAAGGGGTTAGTTGAAGGTGAACCAGGCTGAAACTTGGAAGACGAACGATATTTACCATGACTGCTTTCTATACTTAAAACAGCCTTTATAACTATATTGTTTATAATGTTTTGTGACCTAACAGAAATAATAATCATTGGAAGTTACTCCTGCTTCTTTCAAATAAAATTATTTGTGACTCTACAGAATAATTTTGCCTTTGCACTCCTCTAGTATGTATTTCATTTTTAGTTACTCTTATACCAGCAAATATTTCAAAATGTTTCAAATGAGTCTTGCTATCCAATAGCAACACATGGTGCTTAACATCATTCCTGATACATCTGATGCATGCAACAGCTCAACATGGACTTCTTTTCTGCATTCAGCTCTCTCAGTGAACATTTTTACAAGTGCGCTCCCCTTACCTACCCTGACCCTGTTTTCAGAAAATCCCCGCCTTTCAAAGCCCATCATTTTGTTAAGTCTCAGCGAGGAGCTAGCAATATAAACAACTGTTGCTGCTTTCAGAAGAGAACACAGCCTCTCTCACACCGGACATCTGCACCTGTGTCACACCCAGTGCATAAGCATCACAGGGGAAACAGTCTACAATTGAGGAGTAGGGAAATGTTTTCAGCAGCAGGTGCTCTGTCCCAATCAATGGAATGAGCAAAAGGTCCTTGCAGGATTATAGTGATAGTAATGAATTTTGGGGGTTGCAATGAATAATTGAATGAGGTAGCAAAGCAAGGGATAAACAATAAAATGCTTTTAATTTATTTTGAAATCAGCCCCACAAAAAACTAGGAGGCAATTTTAGCAATTGTGAGTCATTTTCTAAAGAGAAGTGCCACAGTGATCATTTCTGTAATCCTATAAAGTTTTAAATCTGGAAGTGTGTTTAAAGAGTCATGAAACAACTCATCCATAGAAATAAAACTGACCTTAAAATGCATAATTTATGTTCTGATTTCTTACTTATTGATAAGGAAAGCCAAAGATGAAAGGACATGAGTGACTTGTACAATTGATCAATTTAATTAGAAATTTTAACAACTCCATGAGATCTAAAACCTATGAACATAAATAATATCAAAGACTATAAATCTACTATGTTTTTTCATTCCCCACAGTATTTAGTGAAGTCTTAGAAAACATGCTGAGCTCTCTCTCTCTCCATATATATATGACTAGTATAGAGCAAGGAAAACATTAATATAGTACTATGAAGGTCTTGGTTTAATTTTTTCTCATCCATACTTGCAGTGTGTAGGAAAATTACTTAACCACTCTGGTCTCAACTTCATCATCTACATACAAAAACATTCAGCTAAGAATATATAATATATAATTATTCCACTTCTGTAATATTCTAGGTTTTCAAAAATGTCCCATATATATATATATTGTCTTTTATATATTGTCTAAGAGAGAAAGCTTTGTCCCATCTACAAAGTAGCTTACCAAAAAACCCCACACAATATCCTGAGATAAAGTATAAAAAAGTATTTGCTTAGTTAACTTTCCACAACTCAATAGAGAGAAAGTATACAATGGCTAAACCTAAAATATAGTCCAAAGAAAAGAAAAATGATTAGGAAAATAGGTGGCTTATTTCAAGTTTTGTTTGTTTTTTGTGAAAACAAATTTTACTGTTCACTACTTTCTAAAACTACTGAGATTAATGTTATAGAACAATGACAAAATACAGTCATTGATCTCCAAAAAATACAATATGGATTCTGTATTATAAGCAAGACAACATCTTCTAAAGAGTCATCTCAAAAATAATTATTTGGTAATTATTTAAATCAATATTTACTATGTACAAACTTACTGTAATCAAATTCACACAATATTTAAATAGTAACATTACTACTTATTGCAATATATAGGTAAAATAGATTTATTTACCTTTAAATGCCTCTATCTTATTAAGTGTTGATAGTAGAAAGACAAGGTAAACAAAAATTCAAGTGTCTGAAAATAACCATATCACAAATATGTCCAGAGGAAGGAAGTTCTAACAATAAAGTAAATAGAGCATTTCAGGTTTTAAATTTTCATTTTTCTATCTGATGATCAATCTTTTTATCATTTGTTATCACAACCAAATGTCTATATGCAGGTGATGTTATGTGTTCAGGTTCAGACTCTTAAAATCAAATAAACAAGCATAAAGAAAGCTTGGAGGAGAAAGAACTCAAAACCATGAAGTTTTTATAAGTTCATCAAGAGTGTTAATGTGTAAACAATCAGTAATAATTACATCATTGTACATTTTGTCCTCTAGAATGTGAAAAATAAGCTGATGTAAAACCCTCTATACTATAATTTAAAGATATTACAGCAAAGGTATGCTCATAGAAAAGGGCAATCTTTGATTGTACAGTTGAAGTTTCCTCCTAAATTACTTCCTCTAAACATTTAAGAAAATATACCTTTATTTCATGTTCTCCTTCAATTAAATATTTCCTCTTCGTTCTTTCAAAGAAATCACTTACAAAAAGAGCTCTCTAGAAAATTATCTTTACTTCTGAAAATTATCAGGGAAACAAATTAGCTCCAGAGCTTCTTTACTTAGAGCAGACCATCAAAATAACCAGGCCAGAACATCCAGAAACCAGCAGGCAAAACTTCAAGCTCTTCCTTCTTTCTTGACCAATATCTAGTCAAATATCAACCTCAGAAACTTAAAACTTACTTCCCCTCTCTATTTGCTTTCAGTTCCACAAATTCTTTCAAGTCATAATAGTTCTTTTGAGAGATATATATGTTTCCAGAATGCAGGTGGCAACACATTGGTTACACAAAACAATATGTACAGATAATGGCATTTTTAAAATTTTGAAGTCTTTGACTTTCAAATTATAGTCTCTAAAATAGGTGTGAGGGGCATACTATTGTAATTACCTTCTACCCATGGTATTGTCTGCATTTCTTTATTTCTACACACTTTCAGTTAAAGTGGATTTTTAAAAGCTATGGCTATTTTAGCATTTCTTTGAAGTTAATTTACAAAAAATTAATAAATAGTTATTCAAAAGACCATCACAAAAATAAATTGGTTCTCATGTTTCTCCTCCTCTCATTTCAGTCATTAAAACTATGAGTTGAGAAAGAAATATCATAAATGTTTCTATACAGTGAATAATATTCTTCCTAGTGTATATATCATTTCATATATTATTGGAACAAATAATTTGATTTTATTATTTTGGAGATTGTTTCATATATTCTAATATTAATTTAAACAGCTATTAAATGTTTCTACAGAAAATTTATTAACACAGCATTTAGGACCCTAAGTTCCCAGTAAAATGATCAATTAAATGTTAACAAGTGGCTGTTTATATAATCTGACTTTAAAGTTTGTTTACTTATTAAAATCCCATCATATTATTATAAAAATCTTATTTGTGGAAATAGCCATTAGTTAATTCGCTTATGTTCATTTCATTAAAATAATACTGTTTCACTCCATCAAATTAATAAGTAAAATCTATTGAACACTAATCATACTATCCATTCTCTTACTTACAAAAGTAGGCATAAATAAATTTAAACATTAACCAGTGCTACTGATCCAAACATACTCCAATAAACTTTACTTATACACCATACAAGTATAGCATTCATGAAAAGATCATTTAGTAAAAAACACAAATTTATATAATTTGTCTTTTCCCTTCAGTATCTGTCTTTAAAAAGTTTCTTGCCAAACTTTACTCCATAAGCCATCTCCTCTATCTTTGCTGCTGCCAAATCCTTTAATCTTTTAATGAAGTGAATGATTCATTTGTCTAAATTAATTTTCACTTTAGTCTAGATGTATCATCAATATAAAATAAACTAGCAACAGTTTCATGAACAACAAGTGCTTTTCTAATCAAAAGGTCAAATATTTTGTTAGCATAATAGCATCAATAATGGAATTCTATTAGTTTAAGATTTTTCAATCAAAGCCTTCATTTCTACAAATTATTATTTCAGCATAATGAAAATAATTTGCACTTGTATGACTTTGTACCCATGAAAAATTTTAATTCATTCAAGAATACAGAGAGAATGGAAGAAAGTGCTTTAATATGTGTTATATTGTAGAGGATAAAAAATATATAGCCTGTGTCGGTATATTAGAATCATAGCACAAAATCTTTGATTTGTATGGCAGTGTCTAAAAGTTTCCCTCCCACCAATACATTTGTGATAATTATGTCTGAAAAGTCATCACAACTTTCACTGTGGCAAATTTTTCAGTTTTAATTAGAAAAAATTCAAATTAAAAAATGCTATTTTTTGGAATGCTTCATTTACACTGAAATAATAAAATGTTATAAAGCTTTCATAGTAAATATTTACATTCCTTTCATATTACATTTCAATGAAAGCACTAACTTTGCACACTCTGCCCTTTCAGAAGTGGAATACGGGATTAATATCTACAAAACAACACTCTCAAAGAAAATCAGTGCAGCAAAAATACAAAAACAATATCCAAGTTCCAGGGCTTTTTACATATCTAATTTTAAAGTCATTTAAATTGAACCAAATAAGAATTATAAAAAGTGGACTACCAATGATCCTTACCTTCTTGAACCGCCTGAAATGGGTTGTTGCCATCAACAAATGTCACCGAAAATGTGATTTTCTCAGTCTGTAAGATGTCCTCATTCTGGTTGAGGTCGCCAACTGCTATGCGAAACACCTCATCATCTTTTTTGGCAGATTCATCAAAAATTGCTCCTAGAAAGAAGGGAGTGTTGCCATTAAACAATAACATACATATTCTGGCATGTCTACTGGAAATAAGTCAAAGCAATTCATGTATTCGGAAATGTATATTTTCACGCATGAAGTTTATTACTAAAACACATTGTACCAAAAGCAGTGTGGTAGTTAAGCAGGAACTTAATTACTTCTTTCAAGTGGAAATGATGAATAGTACATCAAAGCATTATTACATGGGGAGCATTGGTAAGAATTTAATAAGTACAAAAAGCTTTGAAAAGGACCAAGAGGTTAATACAGTGAATGTCTTACATCATGAGATCTTTAGGAATTCATAACTTTGAAATGCTTTGTTTTATTTTTCTGAAAAATAGGAGATAAAATCAGGAAACTTTCTGAGAGCTCATTTATAAAGTATAGAGAAATCAAACTTCTAGTATAATTTTAATTTATTTTTATTTTCTACCTTCCATCTTAAAAAACAATGATTTCAGGCTTGTTTTTTTTTAATAGTAGTAAATTCAATAATATTTGTAGAAAATTTAAAGATAGATGAATCTCTCAGGAGAGGTAACTGAGAAATATTTCCTAAAAACTAACATTTAGTCTTAGTAGATAATTATGGCATTCTTTCATTCATATATAATGATGATAATGATGATGATGATGATAAGACTGTGGCTAACATTTATTGAGTGTTTGTCAGCACCATATTGGTTAAAGAGTTTTAAGAGTAAACTGATTTCAAATTGTGACTACGATTCATTAAATATAAGTCCATGACCAACAAATTTCAAATTCCAGTCACCATATTCATCATGTCTAGTAATAATACAGATCTTTAGGATTATTAAGTGTTTTAAAGGAGATTATCCATGCAAAATATAAGTAAATTGTAGTATCTAAAAAGTTTTCATTAAATGCTAGTGTTTTCTTATTTTTAAATATTTTGATTTATCATTAACAGTGTTTATCATTTTCTATTAACTTTTCCCTATCACAATATCCCATTTTAATCCTAAAATAATTACGTAATATGGATATGCACGCTACTGAAATATACATCAAGTCACAGCAATTCAGAATATATACTGAAATTCCAATAGTAAGAGCCAGAGTCCTTACTTATTTGATTCCAATGTCCTTACTCTAAATCAATAAAGGATCCTGCCTTCCAAAATTATATCCATCAAGTATAAAAAATGTTTATGAGGATCCTGACTTAAAAATGTGGGAAACTCTTTCGCATCTTGTCATGCATATTTTATTTGTATTCAGAGTGACTTTTCTAGGCAGGCACACATTTTTAAAGTGTTTACTTTTATTATTATAAGCATTTGGGTTAATGTACCTTTTGTCTTTTGAATAAACCCTGCTGACAAAAACAGTCATACAACTCAGGGTCAATAGCATGACAAAGAGTGACTATATATTCATATATATATATATATATATATATATATATATATATATATATATATGCATTATATGTTTCTTGACTATCCTTTTTGCTGACAAAAACAGTCATACAATTCAGGGTCAATAGCATGACAAAGAGTGACTATATATTCATATATATATATATATATATATATATATATATATATATATGCATTATATGTTTCTTGACTATCCTTTGCAGTGTGTATATATAAAAATAAAAATGTATTTTTCATATATAAGTTTACACATATATATTAATAGGAAGAAATAGATATAGACTATACATGTATACACAAATAAAGAAGACACATATCTACTAGTTGTGTTGATTTTATACCTCTGTGACTGGAGCCCCAAGTTTTCTAGTGAAATTCAGATTACAATATTAAACATATACTATCATCAGAGTCAAGATGATAGTATATGTTTAATAAAGCAAGGGTGAAAATATGTCCACTTCTGACAAGTATGGCAGGTTACTTTTGATCTTTCTACCCTAAGTGGCCTCACCATGACAAGGAGATGATTAATGTTTGTTACAGAAGGCCATTATGATGTGAACTTGGTACTAACTACATTGACCAGCCTCTCTAACCCTTTACTTTCCATTTCTTACCTAATTTGAATATCTGGCCAAGGCTAAGAACATGAGAAAAAAGGAAGAATTTTTAAAAACAAATACATTAAGTGCTCCTAATTATATTATGTAGCTATTAGCCAGGATATTAACATTTTGATATAATCAAATGTACATAATAGATATTAATTTTACCTATCCTGTCATTTTTAAATCTTATAAAAATCTACTTTAGAAACTAAGATTTTATGAAACTATGTAGGCAATAAATATTAGATTTATCTTGCTAATTTTAAGCCACATTCATGAAAACTCATTTTAATTTGCAATAATTACTATCAGTCTAGATGAATCATTACATTGAAATATAGTACCATCAGATTCAGATACACACATTTCTTTAATAGTTTGTAGAAAGTGTGATATAAATTTAAAATAATGAGTTCATTTTAAACCAAATAATCTATCATTTTACAGAGAAGTTATCCATATTTATATAGAGACCCTTTAGCTTGTCATCTCTTCTAAATGGGTCTTCCAAAAGACTTTTTATAGAGGGTGATATTATTGACTTATATTTGAGTATTGACAATACATTTTTAATGAAAGAATTTAACTATTACCTGACAGAACACTTCAAACTGCCTTAAACATTAAACCGAGTTTAAGGAAAGCTTGAAACTTACAGAAATTATAGCAAATTAGTCAATTCTGTGTTAAATTAAGATATAGTGGAAGGAAGCATACAAAAGAAGCAGCTCACTTTGCAGCAAACAGCAAGGAAGTGCACAGAAGAAACAGTCCATCCTACTTCACAGGCTACAAATTCCATTATCTGTCTACTTCTTTCATCAACTATAAAGATATCATTTTGATTTTGCTTTGTACTAAAAGATTACATACAGCATTTTGTATTAAACACAAATATTCTGAAAAACAACTGGTAAGTTACGTCTATTTATATTTCACACTGGCCAAACGGGAGGGAAGAATAATTAAGTAACGAAGAAGAAAAGGAATACCTCTTAAATATTCCTGTTGCACCAATCTGTAACTAGCCATTTCTATTGTTAATGGTTGATGATCTGTTCCTTCAATGGGAGGAAAATAAAGGTTTTATTTCTCTTCACATAAAGAGATTACATGTGCATGTGGGAATGTGTATATATATAATTTGAAGTCTTTTTATTTTATTTTTTATTAAGGTATTTTTTTAAATTAAGGTATTACCTTCCCGGGGTGAGGGCATGTATGGGAGGTGGGGTGGGGGGGGGCAATAGGAAGATGTGTGCATATATATTTTTAAATACAAACTGAACCATGTGTATTTATCTTCTTATATATTATGCATTAGAAAGAAATAATATAATTTATATTAATATACAAACAGTGATGTCTTAATATTTTATTGTTGTGAAGGCTCATGTGAAAGTCAATGTTTTATATGATAAAATTACTCAATTTTTTGTCTAAAATTTTATATATGTCTCCTTCCCTCCCCCCAACATTGAACCCCCTGACCCTTCCTGCCCCCTAGGGAAAGCCCCCACCACCCCAGTGTCAGTGCCCGTTGGTTATGCTAATATGCATGCATACAAGTCCTTTAGTTAATCTCTAACCACCCCCCCTCCCCTGCCATTTGTCTCTGGATCTATTTTTGTTCATCAGTTTATGTTGATCATTGTATCCCACATATGAGTGAAATCATGTGATATTTCTCTTTCTCTGACTGGCTTATTTTGCTTAGCATAATGCTCTCTAGTTCCATCCATGTTGGTGCAAATGGTGAAAGTTCCCTCTTTTATAGAGGGGCATAGTATTCCATTGTGTAGATGTATCACAGTTTTTTAATCCACTCATCTACTGATGGGCACTTGGGCTGTTTCCAAGTCTTAACTATTGTAAATTATGGTGCTATGAACATAGAGGTGCATATAACTTTTCTGATTGGTGTTTCTAGCTTCTTGGGATATAGTCCTAGATTCGCGATTACTGGGTCAAATGGGAGTTCCATTTTTAACTTTTTGAGCAAACTCCATACTGTTCTTCACAGTGGCTGTGCCAGTCTGCATTCCCACCAGCAGTGCACTAGGGTTTCTTTCTCTACATCTTCACCAGCATTTGTCCTTTGTTGATTTGTTGATGATAGCCATTCTGACAGGTGTAAAATTACACAAATTTAAATTTGAAAATATGCTTGCAAAATAAAACTTTCAGAAAAAGTTACTAACTCAACCAACACTATAACTTTCAAAAATATTCTAAGCTTTTCTACATCCAGGTTTTTTTCATGATGTTGCTTCCACCATGGATATATTCCTGATCTCCTTAGCAAAATATAATTTCCTGGGCCATAGAAACTATTTTTATGCGTAGAATGCCTACAAGAGATCCTGAATATATTAAATACTCAAGAACAGTAACTGATTAAACTTTCCTTATATATAGTTAGGCATAATTTTATAAAATAGAATACTTTAATTTAAAATACATGATTAAAAGTGTAAGTTGGGAATACATTTGAATTAAAACAAAAGTAGACTTGCAAATGTACTTGCCTGTGAATTTATAATAACGGGCATTATCATGCCAGAAGACCAAAACTATTCAGTAAGGTATTAATCATAAACTCATAATGTCAGTTTGAATATTTAAATTATATTTGTCTTATAAATATAAGAAGGAAGAGGTGAACACAGTTTAGCTGTTAAGACAGAAGAAGAAAGAAAATGCCTTCAACTAGCTCAAGATTTTCTCTAAAAATACTGGGAAAGGTTTTGATATATATCTTGAATACAATTTTCTACATACAGAATTGGCAAAATTACTGAAAGATCTATATATTTCACTTATATAACTAAAAGACCAAGTAATATTTAAAATAATTGATTCTAAAAATCAAAAATAAGAATCAACACATCTGCCGGGACCAGTTTGGCTCAGTGGATAGAGCATCAGCCTGCGGACTGAAAGGTTCCGTGTTCGATTCAGGTCA